AAGATCCGGGCGATTGTGAGATAAGAGGATGTAGAGAATGAGAAAATTAATACAAGGAGCAGAAATCAAACTAGAAACAGATGAGAAAAACAACTATTTGAGAAGAAAATGCATATTTATTACAAAGTTTCTAATCTCTCCCGACTGGTGAAATGAAGGAATAAAAAGTATCCTAGCAATGCAGACGATGTCAACTAATTCATGCTTAAGCAGCTTTTTTTTTTTAGAACAACAGCACAGATAATGAGAGGAAAACAACTTAAATTGCCACATTAATTGCTTCCTTACATTTTCTGGAAGTGGCAGCTTGAGATTCTAGAAGAATAAATGACAGCCCTCTTTTAGCACCAAAGGTGGAAGTAGCCTAATGTTGGTGTGTTGCCACAAAAAGAGGGGTGGAAGTCGTGGTCAATGACTGAGCACAACCACCATCTTCTAGACCACAGGCTGCGGTTTGTGCCCACAGTCAATGCTGATTTTCTTTTGGAAGTCAATTCAGGCTAAGAACTGGAAACCAGTCAGTCATGCCAATAAGGCAGCCAACGTTTTCTTTACCCAGACCCCAAACCTTTCTCCTAAACGAGGCTCATTAAGTTTTAATCTGGAATGAAGAATTTCAAAAGTTTAAACATGTTTTTCCCTAAAGTGCTCTTTTTTGCTTTGAATGTTTGATGTCAAAGAAACAAAAAAACAACAACTGTGAAATGAACAGAAAATGTACATTTTTCAGTAATCTAGTAGACCCTATATAAGTAACGGACAAAGCCATCTTGATGTGATCATGGTCATGATCATAAACGATAACTTAAGGAAAGAACTTTTGTGATCAAAATTTTAACTTATCGCCCTCTGTTGGTGTTGCTTAAAAACACAGATGTAGACATGTAAATTCAAGTGGAGTTCTAGAGCTTAGAGGTTTCTAGGTTTACCCGATCACTGAGCCATGATAACACATAATAATACCCTGAATCATCAGATTCAGTCTAAACCCAACAACCGTAGTGACCTTTGGAGACGTCACTCGGTTCTATCAGATGGCAGAGTTGTCAGACACTTGTAATTTCTACTAAAAATAAACAAACCATTTCTGGTCTAGTGGGTTTTCACTAATGACATAGAGTTAAAATGTGTGCGAGCCTTAATTCTGGAGCTAGCATAAAATGCACAGACACTCCTTAGCATTGGAAAAGCTTTACAAATCCAACCTTTCGAAACTAGATTTACCATTGTTCATAATAACGAATGAATGTTTTCATTGAAGTCTGTTTTATTTTCACATAACTTTTTAATAGCAAAGTAAACCTCAAGTATGCAGATTATTTGACTCCACGCAACAACACACATCTGAGAGCAGATGCTTGCAGCGTTCGTTACCTTGGTGTCATAACGCCTGTGAATACATGATGTCTTGTTGCTATAGGGTCAACAGTGCTAGTCCTTCTCATAGCGTGATAACAACTGTTTAAATGTGGCTTTCAACCTGGTCTCAATTAGGTGCATGCTTGATTTCTCCTGACCTCACTGCTAACAGCCATGCTTTGTTAGGCTGCTGTTGGCAGCAGGAAGAGAGAGAATGAAAAAGTGGCACAGATGAAGAACAGAATACTCCACTTGGTTAGTGGGATAGAAAGTGATATTTAGAATAGCTGTGAAAAGAATCCAAACACTGGCTAATTTCAATCAGGATATTGACCAATAACAGATATGGGGATCAAGAAGGATATAAAAAATGAAATCTACCGTATCTCTTAATTCTAAGAAGTAGGTGAATAAGTTGCTAACATTTTTTTAGATTTCAGTTTGACAAATAGTAGTTACATTTAAAAAAAAAAGACATTCATCAGCTAGTTTGGTAAATGTCTAAAGTGCCATTTAAAGGGAAATTAAAGGTAAATAACGACTGAGGTTAAAAGTTGTTGTTATTCACAGCTGTATCAACCAATAAAATCCCTATATTCCAGGTTACATCAAACCAGGATCAGAGTAGTGAAATTGATATAAGTTCCAAACAATGAGACCTAAAGCTAAAAAATTCTGAAAATTAGAAGCAGGTTTAAGTAACAATATGTTGTTGATTTCACTTTTTTTTATATAGAATCATCATGTACATTTAGTCAACGTACGCTCATAAACGATAAATACTTTCCAGTGACAGATATCGTTTTGGACAGTCTCAAATAGCTGGTGAAAACAACACTTTCGTCTGTGAATTATAAAATGTAATATGTTTTGATCTGATATGCAACTCCAACTAAAACGGAATGTCTCCCCAGTGCATCCCTGTGGACTCAGACATTCCTACAAAGACCCCTGTAGTAAAAGAGTTTTTATTTTGGCTCACCCACAAAGCCGGGCCAAAGCAGTGTAATTCCCAGTGTAAAATCCCTTTTAAATGTGTTTTGATAGAACCAGGTGATAACACATGGAAACATGTGCAAAGGTGTGTGCCTGCTACTGAGACCGGACCAAGAAGAGTGCGTCTGTGCTCATCTGTGTGTGTGTGTGTGTTCCTGCCATCACTGAAGTGTGCATTAGGCCTATGTGTGAGCATGCATATGAATGTGTTTCCGCTCTGTGGCTGTTTGTTGTTCTTGGCAGAGCAATCCGAGATGAGTAAAGCAGATAAATTTCAGAAAGATGAGGAAAAGGCTGAGATTGAGTGTGCAAGGACAAACAGTGCAATGCTTTTCTGACAGTGAGGCAGCTGAAAAACATTTGATGTTTCACTGCTATCAGTTGTACACCTCCAGGAATTCTAGCAAAGTCCTGCTAAAAAAAACCCACATTCGTTCTTATATAGATGAACAGGAGGCTGTGGTTAAAATGAATGAACTGCTAACGTCCCAATGAAGTTGTTACTGATAGTAAAATAATGTGTTTAGATTTATTTTTTTATTAGTATTGCAGGGTCTTCCACTGGACAACAACGCTGCCTATCAAACTAAATGAATTTTACTCAAAAATAACTAATGAGATCTCCTTAAAAAGAACTACTTTGTATTGGGTCAGATGCAATAATGTGCAATAATGTGCATAGCTGTTATGCTCATCCGCCAGAGTCCGCTAACACGAGGGACTGTGGGGGTCTGCTGGGCTACCAGCCCCCCTTTCTGTTTTAGATGTACAACTCTTTAGATCAACCCTGAGATAGGCTTTGACTGGATGACAGCTCTGAAACCCATGTGAGGAAGGGGATTAGCCCATGGGCTGCGGTTCCTCAGAGGGATGAGATCAAACCACCCCAGCCCTGCCAACCCTTTCCCTTCATACTTTCTCGACCCCCTAATGTTCTCCTTCTCACCCATTGCCCTCCCTGACCCTATGATTTACCCCCAACTAGTCCAACCTTCCACCCCTGTGTCTGCTCTTCACTTCTCCTTTTTTACTTCCCACCATAATTTACTCTGTCACCGTGACCTCCCAGCCCTTTGCCATTCCAAACACACTACCACCCATGGATGGAGCCCAAAGAGCCAGGATGTCAGCTGTTCCTTTGCCCAGGTGAAGGCCAGTGGCCGGACAGTAGGAGGTCATTCACCCCTCTAATCAACACCTTCATCGCTCTTTCCAGCCCAGTGGACAGCAACAGACAGCAAGAAGACGCATCACACTGTGTGGTCAGGGAAACAGCAGCTAGCCCTTGGCGATCAAACAGAGAGCCTGAAATTGAATTTGTGGCATACCAAAACATCTGGATGAGCCATGATTTTTAATCCACCCATGTCAAAGGCCACGTTTGCTGTGAGGCCTCTGGTTCGATGAAGCATTTTCTGGGGCAGAGTTTAACAGAATAATGTGAATACAATGACATTAGAACATGCTACATTTCCAGAATGTTTCCAACACTTTTGGTTGGGCTGTTATCATCACATGCTAATGGATTAACAGTTAGCGAGACATGCTTAAATAATGTACCTTGTCGTTTTATTTTAAACCCTTGGTATAAATTGTTGCAAACAAAGATGGGTTCTGGAATTCTCAATTTTGAAGAATTGAGAACTATCTGTGCCTGGAGACAGAAAGAACTGCTGAATGTGTGTTTCCTCAGAGCATTTTGTCAGAAACCACTGTGCTAACCTGGAATACTCTGAGACTCTGAGTCCATCTTGGATTATTCAGGCAATGAAACCATCAATATTGGTGAATCATGAAGAGGAGAATCAACAAAGAGTGCATTGTTTGTAAACTACAAAATCATTAATTATAATTCTCAAATGTAGCTTGAATTTTTTTTTCTCCCAAAACGTGAATGGCAAATGTAAACTAAACCAGGAGGATTCCTAGATTCACATTCTCAGATGTAAAACACAGATTTTTTTTCCATCAGTAACCAATCAGTCACTGATCCCTCAAACAACAACCGTTATCCCTGTTGCTAAAACAAAGCTAATAAATGTACCTCGTTATAACTACAATAACTACAGTATTTCAAAGAAATCAATCTTTAAATCTTTCAAAAAAGTAAGCACTCCTTTATCAGGTAATATATGGTTTGACTCCTCTAAATCTCGATATGTAACGTGGCAACGTGGGCGGTACAAATACGGACAATTGACTTGATTTAATTCAATTAACGAATGGATGGACAAACACTACGGATGCATCACGATGGACTGGGGAACTGTAAAGCAGGCAAACACTCTGTGTGTTCTGAACACTTACTCGTCTTTAGAACGAGTTAAAGACTTGATGGCTGGAACACACATACTTGCTGTAAACCATTGACCATCCCACAGAGACAAGATCCCATATGCTCTCACAACAGAAAATAGGCAGCCAGTGCCACTGACCACCACCACTGGAATGCAACCACAGCTAGTGAAATATACCACAGCAGTAAAACTACCTACAGTACATCAGTAATCACTGAAGTGTGCCAAAACCCCCAAACAAATACATCCCCACTGCAGTCAGCTTTCCGCAGACCCTGCCATTCAAGCGAGGACTTGTGTACAGACACTTAAAGGAACTGAAGTGTCATCACTCCATCTTGCATAACATGCATACTCACCCTTACGCCTCTTATCGTGCACTTTTTCCCCTTCTCATGTGAACAGCGCTGACAGCACGATAGTGAGATGGCATAACACACAGCTGTGCCATGTATAGCGCAATTTTCACAGAGTCAGCACATTCCGTGAAAGCAGAGCACTACACTCTCACCACAGTGTGCAGATAATACCTTCAACAAGCCATCTGTTTGCCCTTGCTTCATTGAACATGGGAAAAACAAACGTGGGCAACTATTGACCTGTGACATAGGAAACAAATGTTGGCCAGTTGATTTGAAATGGCAGAGGTAGCAGAGGTGGGCGGCTGCTCCCACGGGATTTAAAGAGGATATCTGGCATTTAAAAAAAAAACAAAAAAAAAACATATTTACCTACAAACAGATGTGTCTAAAATAATTTAATGCATCTGACAATAGAGAGAAGCTGAATGGAGTCGCTCAGCAATTTGAAGGGACAATCCAAATAAAATGCTTGGTAAAAACAGTGTTTTTGCATTTGTTGTCACCTATAACCAAACTTACCATGTACCTAGAAAAGGTCAGTTATTGTAATGGACACCAAATAATAATAATAATAATTATTATTATTATTATTATTATTATTACTATTATTGTTGTTGTTATTATTGCGTTGCCATTATTATTATAAGTATAAGTAAGTTATGACTATTCTTACCAAAAAAAATGGCAAGATTTTCTGGTGATGATGCATGGAAAAAGCAAAGGCATAAACTTCAGAAAGTATGTGTTGTCTTTCCTTTCATGATTTGTCTTTTGGTTTGGTAATATAAAGTGCTGTCTTGTTCAGGGGCAATGTTGCATAATTTTGAGATGTTATTTTAGGCATGTTTAAAGTTTTAAAGAAATTAAATAAATAAAGGGTTGTATTTTAAACTACAGGTCTTTTACTTTTTAACAGCAGTAGTAGACATCAAACCAAGGAGCCGAAAAATGCGAGTGATATTTTATTGCACTCACCTGTCTGTGTATCTGCGGATAGGTTCATTCAGCATCAAACCATACGGAGCATGGGTGAAAGGTGGCTGGCGCAGCAGGCGGTAACGCAGTGGCTTGCAGTGTCTGCAGAGCTTGCAGTCTGGCTTGGAGGTCAAGAGGGTGGCATCAATCTCCAGGTGTTGCTCCATGGTGAAAAACTGCACGCCGTACACTTCTTCCTTTCTGTCCAGCTTCAGAGTAAGCGGGGTGTCGCAGAAGACATTGCTGGGGCCCAGGGAAATGTTATTCCCACTAACGGTCAGCAGTAAGATGTTGTGGATGGCTGGCAGAGCTGTTTCCTCGGGACTGAAGAAGGTGACCCACACAGTCAGAGAGTCTGGCACCAGCGGGTAGGCAAACTCCAGCTGGAGCATGCAGCCCTGCAGGGGGCACTCAGACAAGCCCACCACACCCTGCTCGACCCCTGCGTTGGGGCTCCAGGTTCGCACGCTCGGCTCACAGGCCTGTTCTACGTCTGGAGGGCCTGTAGGTGATCGACAGAACACGTTGAAAAGGTGGACCGTGTACAATACATAAAATAATGTATAATATTCAGAAAACAAATGTTAACATTTCGCAAAGATAATAAGATAAGATAAGATAATGTATAATATTCAGAAAACAAATGTTAACATTTCGCAAAGATAATATGAATGATGCATTATATTCTTGCCATCTTAAGGGGGTCAGGGGTCGGCGACAATGAATGGTCACCCTTAATTTTTTTCTCGCAAAATAAAATAGTGCAGTATATAAAGATTTAAATACTGCAGTAAAACAACAAAATGTTATTAAATGACAATTATTGCATTTCTTGTGGTTTTACTTATAATACCTTTGCACACCGACCTCCAGTCAAAGAGGACAGTAACACTATGATGTTTCGCTCTTTTGAAGGAGAATCCACTGTTTTGAGTTTCACTTTTCTTTATTTCCCTAAGGGAACTCCCGAGGGATTAATAAAGTTCTCTCCATCTATCTACTGTATCTGACAGTCAGAGATAAGTCAACGTCTCCTGACTGTGAAAGACCGACACTGCTGTCAACTGAAGTGGATGCACGAGCCATGAGCCACATTTTTGTTTGGAAAAACAGCAACACATTTGGTCCATTCACAACCATTACATAAAATCTCTCCGGAGGCCGGTGCAAAAAAGGCTAAAGAGCCGCATGTGGCTCAGGAGCCACAGGTTGCGGACCCCTGGGTTAGGTGAACTGCAGTTTAAAGCTGGAAGCCTTAAGCTTTTTTGGAGTGCTGTCATGAAGGAATGCATTAGCGGTCTTTTTACTGCATGTATAGTTCTTGTACCATCAAGGTAGAGGTGAAACTGAGAGTTCATTGTGAGTCCATCTGCAGAGGAAAGGCAGAGCTGAGGTGTGTACCTTCTGAGAGGGGCCCTGTGCAGGGTTCTCACTTCAGCACAGTCATTACAACCTCTAACAGTCACACTCCAGCCATATTTGGAGTTCACACAGCAAACTTGCATTATCCCAAGTGACGTACACTAACATTCATCAAGCACTTTTAGAGGCCAGACACTATGTTCTCCCTCAATTTCCTTTTGTGCATTTCCAAACTGGCAAGCGGCTAAACCATTTGCTAACCTCATTTCTGGGCACCATGCAAAATTCCAGTGTTTAATCAAGTGAGGACTGAAGACGGTTTCCAAGCCACATTATCTCAACACATTTATGATTGTACTGTAAGTGTGTGTGGCCAGAATGGAGGTGAATTAAAGAAAAATAGAGCAAAAAGGGCAGAGAGTAAGACGAGGATAGGGGAGGGAGGGAGGCAGTGAACCAAGATACTCCAAAAACTTGGCTCTCTGCTGGGATCATGTAGTCCTGGCTTTATGGATACATTTTCATTGAGTTTGCAAGGAAAGCTGTTATAGCCACTGAAAATATTTTGTAATGTCAGCTGTTATTATGGGCCCCACTCCTGCTCTGGCAACACGGGAAGTGTGGTTGGACAAAACTGTGGTGTCATCCACTAAGGCGATGTGAATTTAGTCAAAACATGCAACGATGTGCAGTATCTACAGCTGGAAATGTCATCTTTGAAAGAAAAGTCTTTACTATTCAACACCGAAACCACAATGATGTATTTGAAGTCAAATACAGCAACTACTTGCAACAGGTAGACTAGACTCACTGGACATTTTGCCAAAAGCGCACAAAAATCGCTGGACATTCTTGATGGTGTACTGTATAGTGTAAATAAGGAGTGAAATAAAAAAAAATCCAGGGATTTCTCTAACTGACCAGAAGATCCAGGAACTTTTTGATTAACTGTGGTTATTAGTTATATCTCATTGCCCTCGGGAAGATCCTATACATGCTAGCCAACCTCATTAGCTTGCCTCAAATCAAGAAACATTAAAGAGCTCATAATAAAGCAGCCTGTGGCCTGGTGGTGACAGGCTGCTTATCATAGGATCATGGGTTCGAATCCCTTGGTGATTGTTCAATTGCGACGCATTCTAGAAACATCTTCTAGTATGTTATTGGTCAAAGAAACTTTAAATTTGGCCTCTTGAAACTCTTGAGTTCATAATACTGGCTGGTGTAGAATAAAGGTTCTTGGCCAAGTTTTTGTATGTTCCTGAAACACTGAACTAAAACTTCAAAAGCCTGGTAAGAGTTCTAACTTGAAGACTAACTTGTTAACCCAAGTTACGCAATCACGGAGTTGGTGGTTTTAGTAGAAGAATCATTTTCAGCTTTTCCTTGAATCGGGGTTCCTACAATGGTGGTCTACATAGCTTCTACCCACAAACCAACAAGGGGTTGTGGATGTGTGGTGGTATTGAATCCCAAACCTTCTAGAATGTCCCACCACTGCAGCAGTATATGGAGTGAGTTTTGCATCACCTTTTGACCTTTCTGATCTAGGCAGTTCTACATTAGGTTTCCACTACTATAAGATATTATATTGTTTTTATGTGCGACCCAGGCTGTTGACCAGTCTAAATTAGTCGACACATTAATAGTTGACCAGACAGGGATATGTCCAAACATGCACATACTATGCTTTCTAAGAAGTGTCTGGCTTTCTCTCCTACTATCAGTGACTCACTGTCAAACACCGCTACACACTTCCTCGCTCAGTAGAAAGACGTCAGCTTCTTCCAGCACGCTCTCCCTGGCACATGCGAACGGGAAGATGCTTCACAGACCCATTTTATAAAGGCAACAGACACTTGGTTGCCTAGGAGACGCTGTCACATCACACTGTAATCAGGGTGTTTCACAGGTCAATGTCCCGGCTCCGGGCAGAGAGTGTTTATGTTCTTAGTATGTCTACTACTCACCGAGCTTACAACAATAAGAAGACACAGAGGTGACATAACGCCATCATTAACTACAGGAATAACAGTTTGGAGAAAGACAGTGGAAGGAAGGTGCTGCTTTAATAGAATAAAATACTGATTTACAATTTTTCTTTTTCATATTTATATACGTGTATATGTCATGTTAAAGACCATGATACACATTTATATATTTAGCATAATAATTGTTGCATGTAATCATGTCCTCTTCGTCAGCTGTCACAACATGTTGTAGCCTTATCTGTTTTGTCTCCCATAAGCTTTATATATATATATATATATATATATATATATATAGAGGATACATTGTATATTGGATGTACATATAGCGCTTATTTTCCCCACACATATTCAAACATGAGTTTTATACCTAGTAACTTTAGCCCAACTGAAGTACTTTATAGTTGCTAGTTTACTAGCTGGTTTTTCATGTATATTATACCTTCACTAAATGATACCGACAATATATCCATAGTAGGATAAAAACATTTAAATAACATTCAAATATTCTGCAGAGTATACGTTTTGAGAACGAATGAGTATCAGACCCGTCACCAGTATCAGCATCAGTACAGTATTATTAATGGTACTAAGTAATATACTATATTAAAACTGATTGACCTTATTTGTGCCTAACCAACAACATATATGTATGTCAAAAAGCAAGGTTTTCCACTATATTGCATATATACATATGTTTACATACTGTATATGATTTTAATTATATATTTTATACCTAAAAACTGATGGGGTTTTTTTGCTGCTAAAGTTAATATTGAAATCCTCAGACGATATTTCATGTGCTGTAAATGTATATAACAGTAAAATGTTCACAAGAGCACTTCCATGTGCACTTAAAAATGTTTTCACATGGACCCACATCTGCTAGTGAAAATATACATCCCAAAACTTTCACTTCCATTCACGTACACTCCTGTTTTCAATCAACCCAGGATCCTCCCTCGTGAATGTCACTAACTACATGCAGTTCTCTTAACTATCTTGGGTGGTTTCCGCCAACCCTGCTTTTTTGTACTCCCCTCTCAATCATAACCCATGTGTGTTTTGCCTTTTTTTTTTTTTTCGTTCTCGCCTCTTTTTCCTTCTGCCATATTTCTCCAGGGCATACAGTAGTAAAGATTTATGAGAGGCACTTTGGCTCTCTCCAACCACAGCAACGTTTCCCAGTCCCAGGTACTGTGAGGACACGGCCCCAAAGTCCTTCAAGCAACAGGTGCCATGTATGTGCGCAAATGTGAATGTGAGGTGTCACACAAACGCATTTTTAATCCTGACAGACCGTACGCTACTAGTTAACATGCCAGTGTTTCAGCTCATAAGATCGTCGTCTGGATCACTTGCCAGAACGTCTATTGGAAATTAGAAAGTGTCAGGCACATGTGCACAATCACAGCAGGAAGCGGCAGCTGTGGTATCCAGTGAGAAGCCGGCCCAGGCAGAGTTAACAGGGAAAAGGGGGGCGGGGGGGCAGCCACAAACAGGGACCCCTTCCAAGAGGGAAAATAGAGTACAGTTTACACACACAGCATGTTAGACAAGCCCAGACTTGCCTTTAGTACACACACACACACACACTTTAGCCAAGTGTGCGCGAGGACTTTAGAACCTTTTAAGTTTCCGCACTTACACACAAACACGTGAAGTGAACTCTTTGGCCCGGTATCTTTTTATTGTTAGTTTTAATGCCGTTGACTCAGAGTACGATTCAGTGGAAAACCAGAAAATGGAAGATTTTGTTTTGGTTTTTTAGTCTTGCTATTTTCTGACAGTGAGTTTTATGGGGATCAAACAGCGGAGAAAGATTACAGGATTACAAGGACGTGTGTGGATGATCACGGTCATCATTCAAAAGGCGATGATTTTATTAGGAGTAAATACAAATACCACAAGTGTGTGTATGTGTGTGTGAGGCGTGTGTTTATGTTTGTGCATTTTTCTCTTTTTTTGGCACTGAAGTATACACACGTAATATTTAATGGATTTGGACTTCACGCAAATGTACCTAATTTTTTTTTTATATCAGATTTGACTTTTTTTTGTTATTGTTAAAACATATCTTAAGTTAGACATAAAATATTATAAAAAATATCACTAGAAAGTTTTTAGCTTTATATTACACGTAGTATTTAATAACCTTTCATCTTAGAGCAGATGCGTGCTTCAACAGATACAGGAAAAGCAGACTGGTATGACATCTCCTGACAAATGTTAGATGGGTCCATAAAAATGACGGGTTTCGCCCGAAGCGGCTGACAGGTTTAGTTGATCTGATATACGGAGGAGGATTCCTCCAAGGTGTAACAATGAAAGTGCTGTCAGTCTTTCAGATTTAAATGTGGGATAACGTGTTTAGGTAATAGACCTGGGTGAGACCAAGGGAGATAACCTTGAGGTGATGTCAGAACTCTGTTTATGTACAGTCTAGAACAATCTGTGCCTGTGTTTGGGCCACTCACATCAGGCAGCCATTACCAGCCTCACAGGTGAGACCACTAGTCTACATTCACACACTTCCCACTCCCATCCATAGTTATTCCAATATGAATTACCTAAAAAGGCAAAATGAAGAGTTTTTTTTTTGCCAAAGATCCAACTATTATCAGTGAAAGTTTAAACCGATGGAGAAGATGTGATCTTTCACCTAGGTTTTGGACCTAAAGCCTCCTTAGGGAATAGTGGTACCATACACCACCATCCACTGGGAAGAGAACTCGATGATCCTTCCATGTTGTCCCACGCTCCAAGTGTCATGAACCAATGAGTCATATGCATGTCTGAGAGTTGAGTCAGTCAAATTTTTGTATGTCGATGACTCACAAAATCAACAAAAAGCAAACCACAAATAAGTTGCCTTATAGTAAACTGTAAATAAATATTGGATGTTGGTTTTCAGATTAAATTGTGCCTTCACTTTCCCCGATTGTCAAAGTAGGTTTTTACAATCAGGGAAATGATTCCAGTTCACTCTGAGGAGTAAGAGTCGGAAAAATAAGAAAAAAATATTTTTCGACGATAATGCTTCATTACGGACTTGCAAAACTTCAACAACTGTTTTGTGACACTTTCCCATCAGTGACATGGCAATGAATGGCTTAGTCCTAGATTTAATATTATTGTTATTATTATTATTTTACCTTCAGCCTCTCGTGGGGACCAGTGTCCAGAGGGCGCACAGGGTCGCGGCGACGATGAGTTGGAAGCGTACTGTAAAAGAACTCTCCCCTCCGTGCATTTATCACACACTGATCCCACTTCTCTAGGAAACCAACACACAAGCACAGCAAACAAACTTAGATACAGACCAAAGTGTACTCTGACCTAAATGTATGTAAACAGGTCTAGAAGCAGGAACAATGATTACAATTTTCAATACGATCAATCAAAAGGTACCTGTGGATTAATCACAATTAATCATGATTACTGGACAAAGCAACGCTAAACTTTTTTTTTTCTCTGAATGCATGACGGGTGTTGATATGGTATTTTAAGCTTGAGGTGGCTTGGATAAATGAATCTGATGTACACATTCAGATATTTATATATCATATTTACTATATTATTAGCATCAACATTAAACTAGCATCTATTTTGCAACACATTCAGCTCATTTCACCTGTCATAAAAGTGTCCGGAAATGGGTGGAAACCATTCCAGGGTGATGGAATCATGATGATGCTCAACCACTTGGGGTGCCATTGGCACTGGAGGAGGTTTTGATGAGGGTTGCCAGGTCTGGTAGATCAGGTCCAGGTAGCAATGCATTCTGGCAACCTGGTTCAGTGTAAAGGAATCTGTACAGGCGTCATCTGCAGGAAACAGACGAAAGAAGTCCAGAGACTTTAGGACTGAGTTTTGGTTTGATAAAATATGCCACATGCAGTACAGTACATATCAGGATGACTGCCACATCAAACATTTGGCCACATCAGGGCACCAAAGTTCATGCCCCCCTGCTGTGTATTCCCCACAAAATGTACCTGCTACATCCCACATAAGTGTCAATATCCACAAAGGCTGAACAGATGTGGTGATACCGTCTCACCTGCGTAGCTCATGTAGTTGTTAAACGGTGTGTGTGTGAAATGCTGACAGCCGCAGGTTTCATTGCCTGGATCGGGGTCATGGCAACCTTTGTACTTGGGGGTGGGATTGGTGTCTTCACAAAGATCTCCAGTCTCCATTGAGGGCTCCGTCTCCAGACACGCGTCGTTGCACGACTCAATCTCTGATATGCCCCGGAACACGTGGTAGAGCCCCAGACTGTGACCAATCTCGTGGACCATGGTGTCAGTGTGACCAAACGTACCATAGAAGGAGGGATTCAGCACAATGCCACCTGTTAGACCAAGTAGAGGGATGACAAAAGGAGTGGATGTAAACACTTATCGGAGCGTGCGTGCAACACAAATCTCCATTGTAAAGGAACCGTGGACATGACTAACACTCAGACAATGCATTATTCATGAGCCTCATCTGCCTTATTATCACCTTCCTTTCTATTAGAGCTGTGATTAAGACGATTTGGGCTGGAGCTGTAATGTAACTGTAACCAACGCGCTCGTGAGTAAGTGTCTGCGAGAGTGTGTGTCTCCTACCCAAATGTGTGAGGGCTTCTTTGTCCCAGGGCCAAGTGGCAACCCCCGCCAGATCTTCATCAGAAGAATTGGCAAAGAAGACGTTCAGGTGAGTGGAGCCGTCCAACTGTAGGATCTCTTTCAGCTCTTTCACATCTAAATAGGCTCTGGAGGAAAAATGAACAAGAGAAAATAACCATTTCACACTACAATTAGGATTGTTCCATCCTGGTTAATGCACATTTTGACAGTGTTCCTTGCCAAAAAAGCACTTATGTAGTGTTTGGGTCCAGGAAAAAAAGAGCTCGGTCTCTGTCGACTTTCTTGACAAATGCATTGGCCCTTGAACCAATCAAATGAAGGAGGATTGATCCTGTACATTAAAAACCAGGCGGTGATTTAACAAAATGTTCGTATAACAAGTCTCCTTGTTCTTCCCTTAGGAACATTTACTTTAGAATCAAGGCTGACTTCACTGCAAACACTTGCAGCCTGAAAATCAAAACAACACCTGCTAATTTGGACATGACATGACTCACTTTCACAGTTATTTTAAATTACATTGTGTCTAGACGACCTGGTGCAGCCTCGGTGCATCTGCAGTGCAGTTACAAATAATGTCGGATGAGCAGAGACGGCTCATCATAACAGCCTATTTTTTTTTAAATCGGACGTGTGTCAATTATGTCCAATCAAATCATTTCCTCGCATTCTTTTTAATTATGCTGTGGTTCCTGTTCTCTTGTTAACAGAAGGCAGATTAGAGACCATGTCGGGGATGTTGTGGTGTGGAGTCAAATAAGTTCATTACAACCAAAAACACAACTATGGGTGTATAATGGTATTGGGATTTGGGGGGCTGTAATTTGTGGAGACATTTAAATCCACATTTTAGGTTGGAACACAATAAATCACCCATTCCCATTTCCATTTCTTCCCCATTACCGTGTCTGTGTTGGTTAACGTTCTTGGGAAGACTCTTTCGTACAAAACACATGGCAGCTGCAAAAGCAGTAATCAAGTATGAATGGAGAAACATTCACGTTTTTGTTGAGAGCTACTAACATCTGAATAACTAAACTGGACGAAATGATTGGGTTTTAATAGGGTCGTCAAACGAATATGATTTTAGTCTGATTAATCAAGGGTTGGCTGTGGATTTATCATGATAAATCATGAGTTAATTGACATTTCTTAATACGATACAAAAAGCAAAGGTGGACAAATACCAGCAGATTTAACTCCAACTTGTGCATCTTGACGGTGGCTTGTAGAACGTATCCATAGTTACTTTCAAAACCTCAGTTGTTTTCGTTGTCCTCATCGATATTAATCAGTCTACAGTCCCTCGAGAGACTTACTTACGAAGTGGAAGCCTTCGTAAGCACATGCTGGGCGCCAAATGGTAATTTAAGTTCAAATGCTTTGAGAAACAAAAACTCTTCCCCACAGTGTGCGTAAATAACAACATCTGTATTGACTGCGTTTTAGAGCAACGATATGTTGATTGACGTCGAAAACATTTAAAGTGCAGGTCATTGCACCAATGCCTTTTTGATCTGTCTATTTAAATATACACATTATATTCAAGGCTTTTCCTGATTATTGTCACTGATTGCAGTAAACCCATTGCCTCCCATCTAACTTGGTTGAATCTACACCATAAAGAGTTGAAAGTCCTGACATTTTAGTTACTTTTCAGGTATTCTGATGCCTCCCTGTTCCTGTGATTTAGTGTTTTGTCTCAGCTCTGGAAACACTAGCGGCAGCACTAATGACTGCAATCATTCAACACAATGAGATATCATTCCAGCAGTGAAACTGTCATTCATTTTATGAACACATCAAACAAGATTTCCCCATGAGCCTGGCTGGTGGTCCTGGCAAAAAGCATCCTCAAGCTCAGTCATCTTTTGGATGAGTCCATAATCTGTTGCATATGCTGATGTGACAGTTTATTCATTTCCTTTGGCTTCCAGAGAAAATAGATGGATTGGAAGAAGACAGACAACAGTTAGGGAAGATAAATTTATCACACACAAAACAGGACATTAGCCCTACTATCACAAATTAAATCCTCCTGCTTGGTTGTTTTGACCTAGTTTGTTTGACCCACTTGCTTGCTTAAATTTTCTATGTTGCTGGAATAAAAGATGAAGTGCATTGGGCTCCAAAATTAAGGTTCCGCACCTACAGAAGGACCTTGTAAGTAGTTTTCCTGTCCGTTTGATTGAATATGCAGTTACCTTGAGTCAGGAATAAAACAACAAACTTATTCCACAAACCATGTTGCATAAGAACTTGTACTTTGAACATTATTTATCAAGCAAAAGAACAGAAAGGCAACCTTAAATGTACCGACTACCTTACTTCTGATCTGGTGGTTTTTAGTGAGGTACTCTCTCTGTTTTCAAAGGTCATGCATATTCAGCAGTGGTTACTTCTGATCTGGTGGTTTTTAGTGATATTCAGCAGTGGTTTACACCATTTTGAACATTGTTATAAACTCTAGATAGTGGCAGGCTTTAATGTTTCCAACAAATCATCAACTCAAAAGGGGGGGGGGGGCAGATTAACCCCCAGAGGGCACAAAGCAAAGGGGGTTCAGTTCCTGGTGCCGACCAGGTAACTCTCAGAATCTGTTGCGTACCACCAGTGAATGTAAACAACCGTCTTTCTCGTCAGAATGAGGGAAGAGGACTTTGCTAATGAATTTATATATGGGGGTGTGATCCAGTGCCAATTAATAACAATTTCCATATTTTTGGCCCTACTGGGAGTGTATTGAATATGTAGTACATAGGATAATACAGTGTAGTAAAATTGTAAATTGTATTTTTACAGATGTACTGTAGGTTTATCCATTGACTGGGAAGTATACTTACTTATTACTACATCTCCAGTACTGCTAGTGACATTATACTTTTGGTGTAAATTTAACTTAAACACCTCAAGATTTGATTTAAAAAGCAGAGACTGCCACTGAAATGTTTGTATACCATTAAGGATTTACTGGTTTTAACTAACCCTTGGCAAGAAAGTTGTGACCAAGGCATCAAATCTTGATCTGCAGCAAATCAAGTGTGACACATTCATTTTATATCATGTAGACAACTTTATTTAGAGTCTGTTGTTTTTACGAGATAATTTGTACGACAAAATCTGTTTCCTACTTATAACAAGTTTTTCAGATGTATCAAATGCACCCTTAAAATGTGTCCAGCTGCTCAGTGGGCTCTTGTTTGGGAGGGTTGGGGTTTGGGTTTTCTAAGTAAGTCTGTGCATAAAATATTGAAATTCGAGTGTGCAGCCAATATGTCACATTGCAGATGTTCACCGTAGCCTTTAACAAAACAATTTAGAAGTCAGTAACCTCAGTGTTATTCCCTGATTGTCAGTGTGTACTGAATCTTCTATTGCTACCACCAATGCATATTTCATATGCAGTTAGAACATTTTTACAACATTTCTTGAATCATTCTCTTTGCCTCAAATTACACGTTGATCGAGAAGATGTTCGGCGCAGACGCAACAACAGGCTCAGGATGAAAGGAGTTTAGTTTTTTTCTTACTAATGCAAAACCAACTGGGGGTAGCTTCTCACTGGGGTCAGGTCAGAAGATGGAGAGGGAAAACAGATGATATAAGATCTGTCTTTATAACAATTTCAGGAATTTTCATCATATCCCTAGTTGTCCAGAGCGTTTGGACATGCAGGAGGCCGGGGAAAGGTCTCAAAAGGCAATCACTAGATAAAGAACCACAAAGTGTATCACAAACAAATGTTTTTTCATACGTACTCTTGTTGTGTTGGTAAAGGAAATGATTGGCGCCCAACGTTGGAAGTTGGCAACTTTACCGTCTCCACCGCGTCTACCGTCCATTCAAATTCTACTCAAACCTTGTGGCCAGAACTCTCTTCCTGGGCTTCGATCCACCCCCAGTGTTGTCTGTCTCTCACATCCCTCAACTATTTCCCCATCCCATAGGCCCTGTTCTGTTTCTCTTGCCTCTCATCATCCACTTTTTTTTCAGACGAGATGAGCCACTTGGGAAAAACAGGATTTTCCATGCATTCAACCACATATCAATTTTAAAACATGTTCTAACAAAAAGCACGACCTGAAAACTGAGATAGGCTGAATGAAAAACTGTAGAAGCTTGAAGGTAAAGAACTGTCGATGTGAAAAAGAACAATAAATCAAGGAATCCAAATCTGAAAGGTCACTGCAGGGCATGTGTGAGGTGATGAGAACTTTAGTGTTAATTCATTTATTTTCAACACTGTATCAAGATGAAGTAATAACGTCATGCATTTTGACCCTTGTACAATTTATACACGCTCGTAAATTTTGCCCCGTATACTGTGCGTATGTCTGGGGCGGTACAGTGTGAAAGCCGGGTTACGCTGGCATGGCTGTGAGGGTCTCATAGCCAAGAACACTTTTAAAATTGGAGGAGGCCCTCAGCTCCTCTGTCATCAAATCAGTCAGCACCGCAGCCCCTAAACCCATCATTCATCTCTGCCTTTATTACCATGTCTTCTTTAACCTTCCAACATACTCTGATTATTTTTCTCCTCTTTGGAAGAGGCACGCATTAGAAGTGCGTTGACGCTCAAATTCCACAGATCTCGCTACGTTCGCTTGTTTGCGAGAACAAAGTGGCAAAGTAGGATTTAAAGACGCACGGGACGATCAAAACACGACCTTCTTCATTATGTGTCATAGAAACATTGGAGTTCCTAATCATGTGGTGTGTGAACTGCTTGACCTCTGAGTAGAACACACAAAACTCCACGGCCTGTTTACCCACGTACACCCCTCCCCCCTTCTTACTCCACCCTCTTCCTTACGTCCACAGTTATGCATAGCGTCTTCTATTCTGCCCGTGGGATTCACAGGTGAAACCTCGACAACAGGTGGTTCTATAAGGGTGCTATGGCTTTAAAGGTTAAGTGCAAAGTCCTGGTATTTACGTCCAAACACTCAATTATGTTTTATGGGACGGGGGCTTAAGGTTCAGACGACCAATTGTAAAACACCCAAGTCAAAAGCCCTGGAGATTAGCTCCCCGCTCTGAGCTGGAATACAGCAGGGGAGACGGGGTGAGGAAAACAGAAAGGGTGGTCCATCCATTAACCTGCCACACTGAGAGGTATTGACATAGCAGGGGGGGAGAGGGAGACAGAGGCCAAGGGAAAATAGATGACCTATTAGCCTCTGACAAAGCTAGGCCAGAGCCTTATTTCCCAAAAACAGTGTGAGGCGGAAGAGCTCCTAATATCCACCCATTTTGGGGGGTCAGTACATCTATCCGCGTTAAAGTCTAGTCACTCAGACACTGCATTGATTCCCGATAAAGAGAAAAACACACACATCGTGATACAAATGTATTCAAAGTTACGTTTGTTTTCTGTCTCTTCGCTCTTGTGATGTAGGTTCGGATACAGGCTGCAGACGCAAGAATGTTCAGGCTCAGAGTTAATGCAGTGGGACAACACTGGACACCAGCACAAATAAGTGTCAAAAACAAAGCCTGTGAGAACACAACACAAATATTTCCCTCAGACACATGGGGTGGGGGCATTAAGTGTGGTATTTTTTAAAAGGAAAGGCTGTTACTGGATCACACAGCTGTCTGTGTCCAGTGTCAACCATAGTTTTCTTCCAAACACCACTCATAAGTGGTAACAGGCGTGAATGCTGCGAAAATAAATTTCGGGACCTTAAAACTATTGTTCAGCCACATACACAGTGCATTGTTTGTCTTGAAATCCATTAAAGAGGAATGTCAAACTGTTTGTTGTGCGGAGCTCTGCATGACTCCCAGGACATACCATAATCAAAGCAAAATAAGCAACTACTCCGGCAGATTATATGTATTTTTTCACAGTGAAAAATCATCCTGTCCTCCTTCTGTCCGCCCGCTCTACTCTTTTTCTGGGATCCGTCCTTTCACAGGCCCATCTTTCAAATGCCCATAGGGAACGTCTGAATGGAGTGGTTTGCCCCGCTACTTGATAAATGAGCTTCTAATGATGACTAAGTGGGAAATGAGAGATGGAAGCAACAGCAAAACCCACCTGCTTTCCCCCTCTGATGTCGTTAATTAGATGTCATTATTTAGCTATTTAGCAGTCATTTTAAACAACAGGACGGTGCTAAATAGACGGTGCTCCCAGCGTAACAGTGATTGAAAACAGCCTCCTTCACTGGGTTAGTGTCATCAGGCAGACATAACAATACAACACCGCCTTCAGTAGTATTAGTAAAAATGTGATTATTATAGTCAGAAGCAGAGTAATTAGATAATAGGTCAGTTTTTCTTAAGCTTGGGATCGCAAACACCATGTAGGGGTCACGACCCCAAGGTCACCTGGAACTCAAATGGGGTCAGTATTTGATGAAAATATTGATAAAAAACGTTTTTTCAACTAATTATGATTTTTCTTTTTAAATTATGATTAAACAACTGGAAACTTTCACTTTCATGAATATAAATCAAATAAAGAGTTCAAATAAAATGCAGCATATAAAAATATCTTAGTTGGTGCATCTTGAGTGATGGCTGCGATCACGTGACTGCACAAGTGGCAATTACTTGAGTACCTTTGTGTACTTTGTTCAATAATCTGGCTACCATGTAAATGCAACACAGTACAAAAAACATCATCAAAAACTTATTCTAGAGAAAAATAAAAGAAATTTGTGATGTCAAAGTGGGGTCACAAGCCAAAAAAAAGTTGTTAACTACTGCAGTAGTTCGTTCACTGATCCAATTCATGGGTTGTCCTTATTATTTTAAGGAAAATAACATGTATTATTTAGTTCCAAAAAGTTGGGTCATGTGACCACTGGGTCATTTGTACGATTAGCACAAAGAAAACTGCCAAGAAAGCAATGAGCTGGAAGGCTATGGCCTGTGCCGTCGCTGACCAACAAATAAAATAAAATTGCTCACTAAAATCACCTCAAATATTTTCTTTGTCTTTGTCTGTAAAATACTGGTTCAAGTACATGTTCACACACATTTACATTAGAAAGTGAACCAACTTTTTTTTTTAAAGGGAAATCAATATTTTTCCATTGTCTTCTGCTGTCAAGAAACAACGGCAAACAACTGCATTTCTATCATTTTTGTCTCTGTATCTGGTGAAACCATATAAACCTCCTGCATCGTCCACAAAAATGTCTCAGTCTACTGTGCTGAGCTTCCTGCTATTGGAGGTCTGGCACAAATGTTAATACAGCAAATTCCACAGATGGATTCTCCGTGCCAGCTTTTACTCATCATCTGCAAGCCACAATGAGATTACCGCAAATACAAAAATTTGCATGCATCCACCAGGGTCTGTGTATTCTCCTATGGTAGCCCTATGAAACCTAATAATATTATGTTCTGTGTACAACACACCAAGGAGATTTTCAAAACTGGTATTCACATGCAAGTGGAGTGAACTTTCTCTGCTGTTTTTCCTGGAAATTTCTCTCCGTCCGTCACATTTAGGGACACATACCTGCCTCTCCAGGGAACACGTCTGTCGGTGGTTTCATGGAGGCAGAGAGGGAGAGGTTTGTCTTTGAAATGATTTCCATTGCTACAAGCAAAAGACTTATTGGACTCACTTCTCTGACCTCCGACTGCCCTAACGGTTTGTTTAGAATGTCACTCTTTCCAAACCAACCCCCTATTCCAAAAAAGCCAGTTTAATTAGGACCGCCGGGTATGAGAAACGCAGAGTGAAAAACAAGAGAGAGAGAAAGGTGAAGTTGTTGAAAAATGGATAGAAAAATGTGCAATGTGGTCCATGCATTTGCTACCAGGAAAGTCACCCGATTACATTTGTTTTTGCACTGCTTATGTGCGGAATGCTGATTGAACCAGACCAAGGCTAGATTGGACTGGCTGCCCCTAGAGAATTTCCCAGGCCACACAGGCTGGGAGTTGAGTTACACCAAGCATCAGTCCAAATGGTCAGGAAACAGTAGGACCAGACATTAGAACCTCTCTTTAGGGACCCATGTATGGAAAGATTGGTTGTTTGATTTACTCTTGGCATGTAAGTCCATAATGGGGATTCGGTTTACCAAATTATTCAGCGATGCCAAGCAGAAAAATATCAGAAAAGTTGGATTTTTTTTCTTGTTACAGTGTTTTGTTCATTCGAAGATTATTATACAGCTGTCAGCGATGACTGCCAGTGATGACAACATAATAACGTGCAAAAATGTAGAAGAAGTAAACTTACTTATGCGGAGACGATCGGTTGAAGCACGTCTTGGTCACGTCTGTCACGTTAGGGTTGCAGCAGTCACCGAGGTCGTAGAAGAAGTTTTCCGAGTTGCATTCTGGGTCACAGACACCATTCCCTTGTTTGTGTTCAGGACAACGGCTGCGGTGTCCGAACATGCAGTCTCCTGCGTCGTACCCCGTCAGGGGATGGTTGCATTCTAGGTCGCATGCATCATCGCCAACTTTGCTGATGTCACAGTTGGCTATGATCAACCTGTGGCGGAGGGAAGAGTTGGTCACGTTGTGAATGCTGAGCTCCCAGGTGATGTTGTACGGGCTGAAGGCCTCGTTTAGTCGTTGGTGCTGCAGGTTGATCTGATGGTCGGACACAGTTGGCTTCATCCGTGCGTTGTCCCATACGTTTATGACACGATATCGCACTTTCTTGGGCCGACGGAATTTCCAAAGCTGGTTGTAGTTTCTGATGACCTCCACATTGTCACATACAGTTTGGCCACAGGGTGGAGGATCCAGTGTGGTGTCCAATAATCCATCGGCATTTCCAAGCCCACTACCAGCTCTTCCCAGCTCAGGCTGAGGTAAGGTGCCGTCTTTTACGGTCAACCACTTTCTGCTGGGATGCTCAAATGTTTCACGGATGATCAACTGAGGTAGATCATGGGGGTCCTCGTGGCCCTGCATATCCCTGATAATCTGCCTCTGCCCTCGGGCATGCCTCCACAAACTCAATCTTTCAACCGTGCCCCTGTAATTGTGATTAAGTGCATTGCCGCCAATCATCAGTACTTTGCACTTTTTGGTCAGAGGGCTGAAGACCTCGCCCGATTGTTCCCGACTGACGGCCACTTGGGCGCCATTGACAAAGAGCTTCATGTACACGCAGTCGTACGTGACTGCCACATGCACCCATTGGTTGGGTATGTAGCGAGCATTGGAGTGGATGGAGGTCACTTTGTGAGCACGGTCAGTTTTGAGAGAGAAGAAAACACGGGGGTCACGGTTACTGTGTTCACTTACTGCCCGGACGCCAAGCAGCCAACCACGGTCACTGGAGGCATAGAAGCACTTGTCATACAGACCTGGAAAAAAAAGAAATGAAAATGTTGATTAATTACTGCTGTTCAGTCAGTCATGTATGTATATTATATAACTAGAAGACATTGGTTGAACTTGGGTCAACGAATTGTATCACAATTTTATAGATCACACTGAAACAGCAAAAAAAACACAATGGCAAGTTAAACATCTTGAAACATACAAAATTATCAAAGCTACTTCATTTAAACCACATAAATGTGTTTGCGATTCTTGGTGAATTTTATCTCATAATCTGGAATCACCAAACAAATTCATTCATAATCTGCATGTTACGTTCACTCTGTAATGCAACTTGTTGACCAAGATAATATCATACATGTCATATTTAAGGAACGCTGCCCTGGAAATTCGGTTGACGTGAGGGAGACCCCATGGAAATATATGGGTAAAGCCTTTTTGTGAACACTGAGCACATTTAAACCACTCATGCAAATGTCTTTTGCCAGCAGGGTAGCGAGAAAAGGCTAGTTTTCTGCTAAAGCCTTGTTTTTGCAGAGGCACCAAAACACCTTTTTCCTGTTTCACTTGGACCCTGTGTGTCAGCTCCAGCATGGTAATGTGTTTTCACTTCTTAGGTACATGAGCAGACACACAACTTCACGGCTGTGAGTGCACACGCTGTTTGTGCAACTATGCTTCATAAATCCAGACCGTTGGGTCAAATTGTGCAAACCACATTTATACACATTGTCCATCACAGCGTGCGAAGGGTTTCTGGCGTCTGTGAGTGACTCACTGAAGAATGGGTTCCTAAGATTGAACCGTTTCCTGTCAGTTCTCTCTGCGTCCAGTGACAGTCTGGACGTCTATGACGTCTATGAGCAGCTCATACAACATGGAGCAGAAAAAGAGTGACATTTACAGATGCTCCTGGAAGCAGCATTAAATGTCTCTAAATGTCCTTCATTTATGTCTTCGAAGTCTTTAGCGTGATCCAAAATTATCAGCTGATTAACATAGTGATGGTCACATCTCTGCTCATATGTACATGTCCACGTCAGATGTCTTTGGTCCCCCATCGATTAGGGCCCCCTCATCCTCCGATAAGTGGCTAGCTAATGGTGTCTGCATGGACATCCTGCTAACTTTGACCTGCTTCTAATTACAGGAACACTCCAGTATGCATTCATTAAGTTGGTATTTCACTGGACTAATGTTCAAAGAGTGAGGGTTGGGTTCAGCATCAAGGTCAGTCTTTTGGTGGGTGACGTTTTTGGGCTTTCCACTACACTGGAAGGGGAAAAAGCCTTCCATCTGTCAGCTAATGCACTCAAGGCTAAAAGGTGTGCTAAAATACTTGTAGCGTTCGTAGTGTAAACAGCTGTCATAATTCTGCCATGCTCAATTAATCTAACACTACACTTTTCCAGACCCTGTGCTGCGACCGCCTCGGCTCACGTGAGCACACCTACACACATGTACGCACGTCCTTACACAGATGTACGCACCCGGCGTATGTGCGGGCACGCTGAAACACTGAGGCACACATTTGTGTCCACTCAGAAAAATAAACAAACACGCAAACCACGGGTTTTGCATGAGTACGCTACAGCGCCGAGCTGCGCCTGTCAGGTTCAAAGGTAACCTTCCTCACATTTGCCATTTGTCTGTGTCCAGGGGAAAACACACTTGGGGGAAAAAAAAAATACACATGCACGGACAAAGTAAAATGTCACAACGACTTGATAAAAAGCAGAGAGGAAGGGAACAATGACGACGTTTACTTTGGGACTCTTAAAGGTCAAAGAAAGTCACTTTTCATATTCATACCACGATGACCACCACACCAATGTCCCCAAGTGGACGATGGAAAATTCCACTGATTTTTACCAACTAGGACACATCGCAAGAATATCACTGATTTACTGATATCAACACACTGCAAGAACACACCGTTGTTTCCATTTTTTTTTAAACAATCAAGTGATGGAAAAACCTGTCGATGATTCTCACTTCACACCAAACATATGTTAGCCAATCCAATGAGCTGCATATGCATTTAATCTGATTTCTGTGTTTATCAACAGGTTAGATAACAGCTCTGAGAGAAAACGGCTATCACGGCAACGATCTGCCAACGTCTGCTCGTTACTGTCCCCAGCAGGTCATGGAAGAAAGCCTCCAGTTCCTGCGTGATTTATTTTCCTCTTCCTTTGGATGCGGGAAAGCCCTACGTGACCTGGAGTCAAGGGCTTACAGGACACAACAAGGATGGCATAGTAGTTGGAGAGAGAACTTGATGTTCTCGTGATGGATGTGCGTGTGATTGCCAACATGTGTGTGTGTGTGTGTGCACTGTACAAACAGGGATCAATTCTAGATACATAAAACTGTGACAAATAAGAGCACAGGAAACCTGTAGTCGTCATGTGACTCACTTTGAAGGCTGCAACACAACCCACACAGATTGGGTGATGCTTTGATAAATTATCTGTCCAGTGTAAAATATCAAGATATTGATCCAAGAAGATTCTGTTTCGGCCTAAAGGTGTGGTTACACAGGACAGAATCCAAATGAGCCCCACATCTCCAAGGAGTTGTAGTAGAAAAAAAACTGACAACACTTTCTGAAAAGGAAAAATGTCATTTTAACAGTGGGGGAGGGGGGGGGGGGGGGGGGTGTGAACGTATCCCATAATGTGGAACATCACATGTTCTCCCTGCGTCTGAGATCACTTACAATCTCTCACATATTTTTTGGTGAAGATATTTTGGCACCGGCTCCGCAGAAACAATTCAAAACCAGAGACAAGAGGTTCCTGCTAAAATTGGTCCATGATGCAAGAACACATGTTATTATTCTTCTGTCCGATGCTAACGGTGATGCTATCCTTACAATTCAATGAATATTAAAATGATACACTAAAAAAGGGGGAGGGAGAAGGAGACGAGAGTCAAAAACAACTCAGTAAAAAACAGATGCTGCAAACAACACTGTGAATACTGAAAAGAGGGAGGGGGAGTGGGGGGCATTTTTGAGGCACATGGGTTTCTGTTGGACTTAAAAGATTTGGCTTTATTGAATTTGTTTGATCATCATATTTGTTCTCTTCTGGAGTCCTGTGGAGCTCGCCCATGTGAGCACACATGGAGCAAATCTAAGAAGAAAAAACAAAACAAAAAAAGATTTTTAAAAATTATACCTGAATTGCTAACTCTAGCATGAAGAAGCACGAGACGATACGGGTGAGGGCGGGGGCGGGGGGTAGGGGTGTTAGGGGTGTGCACTTCAGCACCTGTAGAACCTACTATGATCCAGGGGTGATTCTGCAGGACCTACAAAGATCAGTTAGGGCTAAGATGTTATTTCAGAGGCATGAACTCCGACCCCTGCTCGATGTGTTGGTGTTACGTTGAATTATCCTGTACAAATGTTAAAAAAAAACAAAGAAAAAAATCTAAGTCACTCAGGTCACAGCAGACCCTCTCAGCCCCCCCTCCCTGTTGGAGGGTTTTTACAATGGATTGGTTTTGCAGAGCACGCCTCTGCCAACTGGCTACAACCACTAAAAAGTGCCGAGCATCCACAGGAACACACACACACACACACACACACACAGACAGGGGGAGAGACACACATAAAATCATTTATTTGTGTGCATGGAAATTGGATTGTTTTGACTCCGCCAGACAGATAAAAACAAAGAACCAAGTAAATTCACTCATGATCAGTTAAGTCCCCCCCAAACGTTCAGATTGGCATGAAGGAGTCTGAGGAGGGCTGAGTTCAGCTCAGTTCAGCTCAGTTCAGTTCAAAGGCAGCCATCTGCACCAGTACTGAGGCAGGAAATTACTTATATGCAACGCTCCCTATCGGCAAGGAAAAGCAACAGAACTCCCCCTAAACTGTACTGTACTGTACAGCGCAGAAGCGCAATGGATGAACGAACGAACGAATCTCTTCTCTCTCTTTTTTTTCTTTTCTGGAACGTCACTCTGTGCGTTTTACGCGTCCCTACAGGGTTAAAAACACCGTGCGTAAAGATGTCAAACAGTCTGCCGGGACTGTGTTCTGTACCCAGGGCGTCTGTGTGTATGTTTTTTTTTCCTGCACAGCCAGTGAACGTAAATGCATCATCGCTATCTGAATTCAACTACACCATGTACATTTACAGTGCGTGTCTCGGGGAGATACGAGCGACGAGAACATCCACGCCGTAGAAAGGCGCAGAGCCGGTGCGTGGAGCGCGCTCAAGAGGGGAAACCCTGGGTCTCTCGGTCACGTCTCGTAACTCCGGTAGCCAATCCAAAGGTGTCGATTCAAGGGTGGAGGTGGGGAGTCGAGAGTCGAGTGGAGGGGGCGCACTCCAGCTTGCGGCATGAGCTGCGAGCTTTGAGCGCTTTACGCACGCACATGCGCGCGCACACACACACACAGACACACACTACCCATACACGCATGCACCGAACCTCAGCCTAACGCGACGTGCTCGCTCACAAAGTTTTGGCAATTACATCATAGTTTTAAAATAGCCAAGTCGGCTAAGAGAAATTACATTTTACGCACAGTGACATCAGCTGGCGGTCAAGTGATGCGGTAGCCTACATCCACTGCCCGGCCCCCTCACTAATATTTTATGATAATAACCCACACGCGTCACATTTAAAGTGAAAAATGAAAAGAAATAATTATTGAGATGAAGGAGGACAAAAAAAATCACTTTTCGGCGTCTGTCACAGCCTGGAACCTTACAAACTTAAATAATGCTCCAGGTTCTCCAGTGACCCTGTGTTTGCACCGTAAACCTAAAATATCCAGTGCACTTTGAAAAGCATTACATCATTGTCTGGTCTGATAAATGAACTCATCCTCAACTCGCTGAAACTGCAGCTTCCTCTGTGTTTCGCGGCGTAAAAACACTGCAGTTTAACACCTTTTATTCTCCGCTTTAGCGGCAAAGAGTTTGGTTGACAACGGGACGATGTGGGAGGATGGTCTCTCCTACCTGCAATCACTGTGGGTGATCGTTGACCTCCCTCGGGTTTGATCCACATCTCCAGAGTGAAATTTCCTCTGGGTATCTCCACGCCGGGCTTCAGCCGCAGCTGATCTCCTCTGCCGGTGAAATACACAGCTTTCCCCCGGTACGGAGAGTTGTCCTCGGCGTGAGAGGACCGCCGTCGCTGGCGCAGCACCCGTCGCTCAAAGCCGGGCAAAGAGCGTTTGCCCCGGGGCAGACGTGTGGCACAAGCCCCCGGAGTGGTGGCTCTCGCCTCCCTCATGCGCACCAAGTCCCTCTTGGATCTCCCCTTTCCCCGGGCTGTCCCGCACTCTGATCCAAAACACAGGATGAGAATCACCAGGCAAGACAGCCAGAGAGATGTCCAAAGTTTCATTTTTTCGGAAGAAGGAAATGACAGAAAAAAAAAAATTAAAATAAAGCAAAAAAGAAAAAGAAAAAGAAAAAAAGGGCAAAACTAAAATTCTAAGAAAATGTATGTCCACAAATGTTCTTCTCTTTGGAATCCTCTTTGAGTTTGTTTTCCCTTCTCTCTCTCTCTCTCTCTCCCTCTCTTTCTTTCTCTCCCTCTCTCTCTCTGTTTTACAGCGGTAAAATGTCAAACCGTAAAAACTGTCAAAAATAAACCCATAAAGCTATGCTGCTTTCAGCCTCGACCCCCCGTCTTCAACAAAACTACTCTTCAGACATGGGGGACACGGGAATATTTGATTCATGTGTTCCACGGTGCCTTTTCAATGGGTCCCATTTAGCCAAAGGGATGACTAATAGTGATCAATCAAGAGGGGGGTCCGGCCGATGCCCCCCTCATCCCCTCTGGACGGTAGACGGAGTTTTCTCGCAGAAATCCACAGTTGTGCGCCGGGCTCCTGTCACACCTTTCAGTTGTTTCCTGATCCTACCCGTAAAACAGCATAAGAAATAACACATATTAAAATCCAAAGAAAAGTGACAACAAAGCGACCTCTCATATTTATTCCCTCGGAGAGGGCAAGTAAAAAAAATAAAAAATAAAAAAAAATGCAAAGCTGTTTTTTGTTTTTTTCTGAAAAGAAAAAAAATCTTTAGGGGAAAATTTTCAAATCCAAACTTCCCTGTTCCTGCACAAAAGTTAAAATGCACACACTACAATATCTGGTTAAGGCAAAAGACAGAGAGGGAGAGCGGCAGAGAGCGGCAGAGAGCGGCAGAGAGCTGCAGCAGGAAGCATCGCGGTCCTCATTGATTGCCTGGAGCAGATACACTTAGAGGAGAAACTGCCTCTGAAGCGGACGACGTGCTCCGACTCCTCCAAGTCTTTTCAAGAACAACTCATGTTTCATGCGCTGAGAGTGTGTGTAAGTGTGTGTGTGTGCGTGTGTTTCCAAAAGTGGGAAGTCACAAACACACACATACACACACAGGTAGGCAACACATTGACGGTAATTGTCTCTGTGGCGCACACACACACACACTCACACTCACACACACACACACACACACACTGATGGGATGGTGTTTACGGAGTTTGGAGGGCGCATGTGTGTATCCCTCTAGTGGTTACAATTTAAACACTCCTACCGACACTTCCACCGCCGTCCACACAACACGCAGGACCACAGCCGTCAGCACACACACACACACACACATACATACACATACATACATACATACATACACATACACACACACACACACACACACACCAACCCTGAAGCAAAGCAGGAATTATTCAAGGCGGTGACACCCCCAGAAGAAGAACAAATCCCCGGGGTGTCACACTAAAACTGCCCCCCCTCCTGGTCACCCAGGTTCACTTTACTACCTAGAAATCCCTCCTTGGGTTCTATCTGATAAATGAAGACAAATATGAAAACAAATAGTATTTAGTTTGTAGGTCTATGTTCCTTAATTTAAATATTATTATTATTATTATTATTATTATTACTATTATTATTATTATTATTATTATTATTATTATTAGTAATAATAATAATAATAATAAACCACTATTGGCTGTTGTCATTTCTTCTGTAAAAAAAGGTTAGAGAAGGGACTTGAGTGAGTTAAAGTTTAGAAGAAGAAGAAGAAAAGAAGGAAAGACAAAATAAAGTATTAAAAATCTTTTTTTTTTCATTTTCCATATTTTTGGGGCAAACCAATGAAACTGTTGCAAACACTGCAGGCCAGTAGGTGGCGGTAATGCAACTAATGTGTGTTTGCCTGTGACGCAGAAAGAGCATTTTCTTTCTACTTTATGTCATTATCAAAAACTAAGAATAGACTCAACAACTCCCCCTACACAAGTTTACAAAAACTACACTTGAGCCTTGGTTAGCTTTTACTCTCGCTTAATTCAACTGTTGTTTCCGTGAACAAAACATCGGGACGGGGACTTCAATGCATTGTTTTGATGAGTTAATTATACACAAAATAAAGAATGAACTTTTTTTTCAGTTTTCAATTGTTGTACAAAATACATACTACAGCCCAGTAGGTGGCAGTAATGCTTCCATATTTTTTTTGCTAGCTGCAAAGAAGATGCAAAGGATGATAAATGATGCGACGGCGCACAACAAAGTTTGGTGAACACTGAAGGATGAAAAAAGTAAACTGCTAGCACAGACAACTTACGCTAACGTTAGCTACAACGCTTCTGGTAGGGGCTAACGGTGTCTCGTCACCACAACAGAGCAGGTGATGAGGTTTGAAGTTTGTTAATATTTTTGGTACAGACTTATGTCTAGATGTAACAGACGCATCACTGCTTTAAAGCAGAGGTCTGCAGACCGGTACTGGTCCGTAGGTCATTTGATAACGGACCACAGAGAAGGAGTCAATAACTTTCCACTAACTTTCCACTACATTTGAAGTTAATTTTTAAATGTTTAAAAAATAACATATTTGAGACTTCAATACTAACAAAATAAAGTCTAAAAGATGTTGTTTTTTTTTTATTTACAGATCAATGATATGTGTGGCCCTACCAGTCCATGGTACGGACCGGTAACAGTCGACCCGGTCCTTGGTACAAAAAAGGTCGATGACCTTTGGAGTATTTATTATTCCCACTAAAAACATCAAAAACTACTACATCTTTAATCTGATTGGAAAACCAACTTGCTACTCCTAACCCACCCCCCTCCCCTCAACCCCCCGCGGCCTCCCCCCATGCCTCCCTCTTTCTGGAAAGTTTTCCATTTTAACTCTGGCACAGTACGATGTATTGTAAGGTAGATCTTACTGTTCCTGTCAAAGTCATGTTTCTCATTAGAGTCCTCTCAAAAGTAACTGAGCAGCAGCAGCAGCAGCAGCAGATCAAACCATATGGCACTCACTGTGCCTTCTTTACTCGACTCACTCCATACAATTAATAACACGTCGGTTCTTCGTTTTCATTCTCACTATCTAATTCCACCTTATTACACACCTATTTCAGCCGGCTTTCACTTCTGTGTCGGCTAGCCTTCGACAACGACCGACTGGAGAAACTGAAGGGGCCTCCGACGCCCACACTTCTCTAAGAGAAACGTAAAGGATTGGTGAGTTTCAGGTTGAATCACGCAACCTAGTGTTTACCCACGTGTCAGCGGAGATGGATGTGAATTTCAATACCGCACTTTCCAGTGAAGGTTTGAAATCTTTTTCAGATCAGTGACACAGCCTTCAACACAGGCCCAGAGTGAAATGAAAACAATCCTTTGCTTAATGTAACTTTTGATCTGTGGATGTTCTGACACAGAAAACACAGAGACTTTTCCTTCTTTTCTCCTCTGGAGAGACACTCTGCTGGAATGCCGGTGCCCCCCCCCCCCCCCCTCTTGGCCTCCCCCCTTTTGCTTGTTTGTCGTAAATGTGTGTTTAGACAGCCAAAACTTTCCACCTACCATAAAGGGCAAAGAGAACAAACATTAAATATTTGCTTTCTTTCTTTTATGGCATTTCCACTTCAGCCCATATACTTCCTTTTGTGCGAGACGTGAAGGGAAATGGTTTATTGAAAGGTGTTTGACCTTGAAAACTGCCATCAGCAAAAGTTTCACATGCAGGGTAAAAAAACAAATCAGGTCTAATCAAGGCCTGTTTTTTTTTTTTGTTTTTTTTTTTCTTGCAGCGGATGTCATATTTATGGTGAAATTCTCACTTACTCACAGTTTTCTTTTTGTAATTCATTCCTGCAAACGCCGCTGCCGTCTTATTTTAGTCCATGTTTCCCAGCTGTAACATGAAGGCAGTGTTAATTACTGGCAATTTTCTTTGAAAAAAAAAAGTCACTTGTCACTTTATTTTTAAAACCTGTTACAAGCTACTTTTGCACATTCAAACCCACTTCATGATGTGTCATGGTGTGTGTTTCTCCCTTTGATCGCTCTCTTCCTACTCAATATATTTTTCTGGCGTATTTACGTTGTGTGATGTTGACTTATGGCGAACATCCAACCGTCGGTGCAGCCACTGATGGTAACATTCGCGTTTACAACCGATTATGTGACAAAGCAACTCGAACTTGAATTTTCGTGGCAACATTAGGAAAATGGAAAGACAACTCCACCGCGGTGACAAAGTATCAGAGGAGGAGGAGAAGGTGAAAGACTTCTCCGGTCCTGTTATTACAGTCTTCACCTAGGATCAGACTGTGACTATCTCTGTTGAGCAACGCCAGTGCTGAAGATAGAATCAGTGACATCACGTCTTGCAGCTAGCATCCTTCTAAAGCAGGAACACAGTGTGCAGACGGGAAGGACAAAATAATACCGACGTACGCTCACGGAGAGGTCGCTTCCTATCCTTCAGTTATACGAGGGGAGTCGAATTGTTTTACTACAGCCCTGGCATCAGCACACAGCTGCGGGCAGCGGGGACCAATCAACATGCACGAACTTCAAACTCTGCTTCACTTTATTGACTTGTGATATAAAAACAAAACAAACTTTTTTTTAACCAGTTTCCCAAAGAATTAAAAAAAACAGGAAAGGGTCAAGATCTTAGCCCAGTGATCTGGGATGGTTCATGTCACAGAACAAGAGTGTAGGCCTGTCTGTGTAACTATGACTGGCTTTAATTTCACTGAGTCGCCTCAAGCTTAAATACCATCTCAATGTCCAGAATGTGTTTGCAGAGGCTTCAACTTCAGGTCAGACACAGTAAATAATTCTATGGCCGACAACCTGACTGATACGACTGCCAAATGGAGGGATCGTAGACTGAACAATATTACTGTAACTTTGAAACTGAAACTCTTAACGTTTACTACAAGCTACCATCAAGATGCACGGGAATGAATGAAATCCACCAACTTTAGGAGGCTACATTTTTTAGGTCCACCTTCGTATATTTTTAGTTCCATCATTTGGATTAATCACAAATATAACAGGAAAACACAAGAAAAGAATCCTTTGTTTTATCATGGTTAATTGTGATTAACTAGGATAACGTGATTAATCGTGATTAATCATAATAAATCTACAGCTATGCTATGAATAATTAGATTTGTTTAATCTGCATAGTTTTAAGTCAAACTAAAAAACTAAAAAATAATTGTACAATAGTTTGACACTACTGTTGGTGGTAGTGGTGGTTTGTGCGATTCTTTTTTAGGGGGCGGGGGGCTTTACCTTTGACATGTAGATGCTTGTGTGTATGACTGATTCAAGTCCTTTAATTGCCTAAATGTGGGTTCTTTGAGTTGAATTGAATTGAGAAGCCATTTTATCTGGTCACACCCTTGTCTCCCTGTAGACAATGATCAGTTTCGTCAAACATTTTTTCCTCTACGGTCTTGCAGCCATTTCTATCTTCCCGTCACTTGTGTTTGACGGTAAAGTGGTCTCAGCGTTGTGCAATAATCCCAGCACGTCATCCGAGCGACAGAGGAGCACTGAGAATCAAATATGGGGGAAAGAAACATGGAGGTTTAATCCATTAATGCACCCAGATTAATCTGTGACTCTGGCCGGCCTAAAGTGAAACCTAAATGCTGCCTTTCTCGCTC